TGGCGTGGCCTGCTTGGCCCTCCCCTCCCCTCCCCTCCCCCCCGCCTTCCGGCGTAACCACCAGGTACCTTCCCCTCACCGGTTTGAGCCCACGTCTGTACTTGTAATGACCGTAGTTGTTCCTGTCCTGTGCTGCGCGGGGAGTTCAATGTGTGGCTACTGCTGTTGTTGTTATCGCTAGCTTTTAATTGTCATTGTTACCAGTGATACACGTTAAACTTTGTTATCTGCTTCTGGCCGTTAATTGAGAACCCAGTCATAAGTGACAGGGACACCTATACCGCCACCCGAGCCTTTCTTGCAGCGTGGGGCGCTGTGGGGACCAGAGCGTGAGGGTGCTCTGTGGTCGGCTCAGCCGCCCCTCCCCGGCCTCCCGTGACAGAGTCAAATTCCATAGTAGCACTGAACTTCATGAATGACTCCCTATCATCAGAGTGGAGATGAGAAAGCATTTCAACTATGTTGTACCTGATGGCTCTACAGGAACTCAACAGATGCCCTTTTAGGGTTGTAGATGAAATAAATCAGGTAAGAATCAATAGCACAATAAATATAGTCTTGTTATACAGATGCTTATGAAATAGTTAAGGGAACAGACTCTTTTTTCTTGTTTTTTTTTCTTTTTTAAGGGAATGGATCCAGTCAATGAGAGAAGAGTTTTTTTAAATGGTTGTGAAAACTGCTTGTAAAGAAAGCACATCTCAGTACTTCTTTATTACACCAAAGGTATGGGGCTGGCAATTAAATTGAAAGTTTAATGTGCATGAGAGCTGAGTTTTGTGTGATAATAACCCTGTAAACACTATATAACTTGCTTTTCTGGTTTCATCTGAGAACTTAATATTAAATGGATGCACTGTAACAGAGTTTGTCCATTTTAAGGACAGTCCTGGCAGGAATTCAGACAACCTATACCAAGGCTTATTTTATAATAAACATATTTTGGAACTTGTGGCTTCTATGGAAGCATCACAAGTTAACCACTAGTGGGTAGGGATACTGTGTAATAAGGCTGTCAAATGTAATACCCCTAGCTCTCACAGAATATGGACTGTAGCAGAGACCAACTTTCAGGCAAGTCAGATAATGCTCTTGAAAGAGGCTGCTGCTGCTGACCTCTGAAGAAC